AATTGAGAACCTCCTCCTTTTTTGAAGTCGGTTAAAAAAGGCTTAATTAACAGCCGTGGCAGCTTAATGGTTTGACCTACCGCCTCTCGAGCAGAGGGTTGTGGTTCGCATCCGGGTTTGCAACTCCAAGTTTTTCGGAATTTATGTGCGAAATTTAACAAAGAAATCTAGTAGCAGTAGAGCTCCTTGTGAAAGAGTTCGTCCAGGGAAGCACTGCCACCTTACCTATTTCTGCCGCCAAGCAGTAATGTCAGCATTACTGTGTTTCGAGTTTTCAAGGGTAAGGGTGCTGGGGAAATGGACTCGGTGGAGCGAAAAGCAAAGAAACTTATTTACAACAATTCTCTTGTGGAGTCGAAGCTACAAAATCTCGACCATCGAAGAGAAGTAGCCTGCTTGTTGGTTTTCTATCGGATACATTTCGGGGAGTGTGCGCAGGAACTTTTCAATTTAGTTCCACCCTCACCGTTCCTCCTTCGGTCGACTGGAAGGTCCGAAGCACTCCATTCTTATGACATTGATATTCCATCTATTCGCACTAAGCGCTTTGCTTCCTCCTTGCTGATGCGTAAGGCAAAGGAATGGAATGTTCTACTGCGGCATCTGTATTTTCCGAAAAGTACAATTTGGGGCTATTCAAGGCTAGAGTGAATAGGCATTTTTTTAGGCAAGCCCATCGTCGGTCACATCGTCGCGTAACATCAGGTGAGATTATGGCCAAGCGAATGTCTGTTATAATTATAACCGTCTCCGTGGTCGAACGGTCATCATACCGAACTACCACGCAGATGTCCCAGGTTCGATTCCCGGGCCGGGAGAAATATTTATATGGCCTACATTTATTTCTCTCGTGAGTTTGAGTGTAATTTGTGGTTGTCTATGTGTGTGTCCATGGCACCCGCGACACAGGGTTTCCCTAGTGCGGGGCTATATTGAGTGTGTGCGTTATTATTATATTATTATTATATATAAAAAAAATTACAGGCACATAGAATTTGTCAACTTACGTCTCAGATCTTTGCGATTTAAACCTCTGAATGGCACAGCAAATGTTATGGATAGGCGTGTCGCTTACCACCAGGCGTACTACTTAATCGTCCCGTCACTAGGTATTATAAAAAAAATCACTTTTATTTTGATTTATATTGACTTTTCCTATAGTGAGTATGAAATTGTTTGAGACGAGCGAAAATCTATGTGTTCCAAAGCTTTTCATTACAAATGTAAACGTAAAATTTATATGTAGTTACGTATTATAAATTAATTAAAAGTTACCGGTAGCAATTGCTTGACCATGATCGGCATTATGGCCGCCACTTCTACATACAATTTTAGTAAGAGTTTTTGTAAAAACTTATATCAAAAGTGTTTAGGGATGAAACACGTTTTTGCCAATTACTGAAAATATGGTTAATCAATTTTTTTAGGCCGATGGGTCTTTTTCTGGCCAATTTCATAATTTGAATTTGAAAATGAAATTGGCCAAAAAAAATCATTGGTGTTAAAAATCTGATTTAATTAGCAAAAACGTGCTTGATCCCTGGTCGCTTTTGATGAGTATAGTTTATATACAGTTAGTGTATGAAATAAATTACACTTCAATTCTTATGGATCTGGAATATAAACTTACTCTCGCAAAGAGATTATGTGCCCCATCCCCTTTACCCATAAGCCCTTATGACAAAAACAACAAACAAAAAACATTAACAATATGTATGAGTATATTTATATACATGTGTCAGCATTTACAAAATAAAGAAACAATAACACAACGCTAAGAAGAATATAATCTAATCTGGGTTTAAGGAAACGCATGATAATAAATAGAACTATAAATGCTAATTCCAAAGAAAAAGCGACTAAAATTTATTACAACCAGCTTCAATTCGCAGTTAATATATTAACGTCTAGAAATTTGGAGTACATAATGCGAATTTATAAAATTTGATTATGAATTTGATGTACGCCGACACATTGGGCCGATATGCGAATACCAGAATTGCTAATTTTTACAAGAGTATGCTTTCATCTGTTGTGTTTTAAAATTCAATATCAGAGAAAACTTATTTGTTTTGTTTTCAACGTTTGTTCTTGACCATGCACATCTTAGGATTATTAAGATATCTTTGCGCATTTACCTTATCACAAGGAATTAGATTACGCTCCAATCGTGTATATTTAGAGTTCGTTGGCCACTGTCTTTTTTTTATGATACCAATTGATGGGACGAACAAGTCGCACACCTGGTGGTGTAAGCGACACGCCTGCCTATAACACTCAGTGTTAATCACACAAAGTGCAGTGACACACAAAGATCTGAGGGGCATTGCCACTGCGCCCGTTACCCTGCGACTTAAGTTGACCAGTCCCATGTGCCTGTAAAACTGGAACGCAGCAATGCTCACATTACTGCTTGGCGGCAGAAATAAGTAAGGTGGCAGTCCCTGGACGAACCCGACGAACAAGGAGCTCTACTGCTACTAAATGGCATCGGAAAGGTTTTACAAACATTACCGCGAAATTATGTAAGAATTCGTACCCTAGGTATCATAATATAGCAAAAGTTATTACGTCAAAATATTGTTACGTTTATCGCATGAAAGTCATAAAAACAATACGAACTGCATAAAACATAGTAGATATGTACCTATACATGAGATTTTATAACTCTCCTACTTTTGCACAAAAAAGTCATCGATAATATTGTCCGTAGATTTTTAAACCTCTCTCCTGACCAGTTGCAGTTGTGGCCTTATTACACCAAGGGTGCAGTGCAAATTATACCTATCAACTGCATAATATGTTAGTGTTAGTCAATTTGTTATTAAGTATCCGTTATAATTCAATGATTTCGTAGTCGCACTCGATAACCTGTCTTTGGGTGGGACGATAGCACGATAGCTAATCAGTGATAAGGCAAGTGCCGATAACATTCTATGTACGGGATGTGGACGTTGTTTTCCACTTTTTTTTAAAATAAATGGACTTGGTCTTCACCACTACCTAGCTTTGAAGCAAACATAGGATCTACTATGGAACCAACTCACCCAGAAGATGCGTATTCAGTCGCACCTTAAAGATACATGTGTTGTATGTGTTCGTAAACACAGTCGCAGTCAAAGAATTCCATTCTTGCGCTGTGCGCATAATAAAAGATGATGAGAAGGGCTTAGTAAGCCTGAAGGGAATATCGACCAAAGAAGGACGATATCCGTGATTTAAATCCGGAAAAATAGTTTCATTTCCTATGGTGTGACAATCGCGAAAACCTAAGAGCTCGAAATGAGTTCATATTTTAGCATGACTATTTTAGAAACTGATAGTTATGAATCACAGAATGTAATTCTACCTATGGGCGAATTAACTTAGAGCGTTATTTCCGAGTAGTCTTCGGTTAATTATGGTCGTTTTTGTTTATTTTTAATCTGTTCCAAGTACAGTCATGACCACATACAGAAATCTAAATAATTTTAGATTTCTGTGCTTAAGACTTCCTCAAGTTTGTCATTGGATTTTGGATCATTCTCAAGCGGCATAGAGTTGAATTTAAATCTCAAATACTCAAGCTTCACGTGCTCTTGACCGTGCACAAGAAACATAAAACGAAAAAAAATTGATATGCTACATCTTTTTAACACCTACAAGAAAACGTCTAATGAAAAACATAATATGCAAGAAAGTTAATTATTATGAAAGGCTGCAATGTTGTAGTTTGATGTGAGTGCTTGTATTAAAACCTGAGCAAGCGAAGGATACTTAGTATTCATACTTAGTATCCCACAAGGGAAACGAGTGGTTCAAAAATAGAATCCTGAGCGTAGCGAGGGTTTTAAGGCACGAGACTCAAAACAACTTTGCTGCCGAGCGAAACACGCAACTTTTCACCTCACTATAACGAGGAAAATGGTAAATTAAAGAAAAACAGTTGAACTATAACAAATCAGTTTTAATAAACAAATTTATTTATCGTTGTCAATTTAATGTCAATAATAATAAGAACAAAATATACCAACGGATTTATATTACATAAATAATGTACGACAAATCGAGTAGTTAAACGTGTGATTATATTTTTTTAATCGAAAGAAAAGTTAGGCGCAGCATCATAGCCCATCGTCAAGTTCGAATTTCAAAAACCTTTTCCACACTAGCGTGAAAAAAACGCTTTTGTGCAGATTTCTAATGAGAGAAAAACCTTTTCCGAACTAGTGAGGTGAAAACGTACTTTAGTCAAACAAGTCGATGATTCCCACGGAATAACCGTGTATTATTGTCCATGTGTTTATTACGTATTATACACGTTTATTCAGTGTTGATGGCTCCACCGAATAAACGTGTATTACCTCACGTTTATTCAAAGGGACCGTCGAATTCATTTTGAGTAGTAGTAGAGTTGCTTAAAACAGGGTTCATCCAGGGATCTACTGCCATCGATTTCTTTATTTCTTTCTACCTATTTCTGACGCCTAGCACTAGTGCGAGAATTACTGGGTTCCGTTTTTGAAGGGTAAGGGTGCTACAGACAAATACGACTTGTCAACTTATGTTTCAGGGTGACGGGCTCAATGGCAGTGCCCCTCAAAACTCTGACTGGTACTGCAACTGTTATGGACAGGCGTGTTGCTTACCACCAGGCGCATAACTTGTACGTCCCGTCATTTAGTATCATAAAAAATTTGCAATACCTTTAATAATAATTTACACAGATAATATTAGCGAAAGATATAGGATTGAATATCAGTGACTATAATAGCTCCGTCTTTGTCGCACCTGATAATAAACGTCCTAGACTTAGGTAAATCAGTAACAAACATAATTTATCAGTGTTCGGTATTCAAATCAGCTCCTTGAATAAATAAAAATATTAAATAATTTTCCCTTCAAGAATGACAATTCGTAGTGTAAAATAAAACAGCATGTATATCTAGATTATCTGAAAGAACTCCCATATCTTTCACGCGTGCTATCTTTAACATTGCCAAATTGTACAGCAACGAATGCGGTTCCATTAAAATATGCGTCAAATTATTAGGGATATCACGAGGCTAGTATTGCATAAAACAAGCCATCCAGATCGTTAACCAAACAGGCAATGCACGAATAACATAGCAAACATTTCTAATGGGAGCCGGTAAGTTTTGTTTTATTTTATTTCTCGGAAAATATTTTTTTTCATTAAACCACGGACTAAATGTCTTATAGCCAGAGTTAGATATATTTGTACATAACGTAAAAGCTCTTATTGTGATAAGTGTTATTTAAAAAAAATATAATGACACATAACCTCTACGTTTGAATATTAATAATATAGAAGCATTGACTTACAAATAAATAAATATTCTTCAAAGAAAACTTACTGTATGTTCTTGGTCACAAGTAACTGTGACGTATTTCTATGGAACAACACTGACAATTAATTGATTGTGATATTCATGCCACGGAAAAAATTTTGAAATATACAAGATTATAGTAATCTAACAAGTGAAATTATTAACTCTCATTTTTTACGTTTTTTTAATAACCTTTTGAAAACGTTTATTTCTAAAGTGGTTGATGATTGAGCTTAACAAATTTACGTTATTTAGAATAAAGAGGAGTAAGACTTACGTTTATTAAAATTGTAAGTACGTATTAGTGATTTTCACCGTACAGATGCTTATTTTCCCATAATACGAATACTAGTTACTTTCAACAAAACTAGTATGTTTTTTTCTTTTTTTTATATTAAGTAGGAAATACTTCAAGCGGATCCCTTGGAGTATAGACTGGGTAGTGGTGTGTGACACTACGTGTGCCGACACACTTACCTCATCCCATCTTCGGCCACCAGCGAGAGGACTGGCTTCGCAGCTGAGCTGTCGGAAAGAACAAAAAGTAATAAATACCAGGACCTCGGATCTACCTATTTACAGATTTTGGAGTCGAAACCCTTGGTCCGTGAGGTTCCGGTGGACCTCTGGGACAGCCAAGGGTGCAAACGCTTTAGTATAGCCATACAAAGGGGGAACGCTGCCAGCATCTAGAGCACCTTACCGCGGGGACTCAACTTTATTCATATAATTTAATCCTAGTTTTTCATTTCTAGTATTTTAGCTATTATTGTACCTTGCCTGTATATTTCCAATTACTGTCTAATATAAGTGGGAGACTATTCCACATCTTGCAGGTTCTAGGAAGGAGCGAACTTGACGCCTGCGTGGTCTTAGAATACATCAGGAATGAGACACTGACCTCATTTCACATTGACCTAGTTCTTTTACAGTCTGAGATTTTAAATCTCAAAAAAGATTCATTATCTCTAAATATATGTAAATGTTCAATCAAATAAAAAAAGATATTTATTATCTTGATTACGTTTGAATATAAATTAATTTTTAATGACTGGTCTTCCTATTCATTGCCTTCTTATTTTAAACATACTGTTATATTCGTTTATTAGTACAATTGAGGTTAAAATTGTTTTAAGTCTCCATATTGCTCGCACAATGACCTTGTGCCACTTACTATTACTTCATATTTACATTATGAATAAGGATACGGAATATAGATAAAGCGAGTATGGATTTAAGCAGGTACCTACACTCCCTTTTACGTGAGAATGATAGTAATTGATTGATGACGCATTCTTGGATATTATTTAAATTTAGTTTTATTATTTATATCAAAGAAGAATTTAAAAAGGACCACAGTCCACGTTCAACGCGAACTTAGATTTTAGGAGGTGAGGTGTCCCCACACCTCACCTCAGTCGCCCGCTATAAATTAATATGAATAAAATAAGAACACACGGAGAAAACTTGACATAGATCCAACGTCGACAAACGCCCGATGGCGATTAAGGGCGCATTTATTCGACACAGCGGCCGCAGCAGGCAGCGGTGCAGCGGCCGGCACGGCGTGTCATTAAGCCGCTGGTCAATTTGCACATTTGGGATAAATGTGAATTTAATAATTAATGAGGCTTCAGTTATAATAAACCAAAATCTAGCAGGTTCTCTGTAATACTTAAAGAGAAATATCTCCATGTAAAAATTATATACAAAGTGAGATATTTTATTCATGAATAATTCGTTTTACATTTTATTTTAGACTGTTTTCAGGATTTTATATGATCGGATAAAGTACATCTTGTCGTGTAACATATTTGCACATCCTTTAAGCAATATCCTTATGTGTATCGTATATTTTGTAAGTCTGTTATTTAATAGTAAATACCTAAACCATTTAATCTAGCAAAACAGTTTTTCCCGCCGCAGTTTTTCTCCTCCGATGACTTACCTTAACTCAGTTTCCATATAACGCGGAGCGAAAATTGCGAACAACCTTCCTACGCGGTACGAATTAATCGCGTTATGGGAGGGTTGACTGTACTATTATTAATTTCAATGTACCCAATATCACGCGTCTTCACTAAAGAAATCGACAGGAGTTATATTTTCTTTGAAGACATCTGAGTTTAAATTTTGGCAACTGTCGCACAGTAGGTATATTTATTGTTCATAAATGTATCATTATTAATTTCAGATGTACTACTACTGCTAATATTATGGCTGATGCCAGTGATGGCGCCTGCATCCGTGGTCCACCGTCATCGTCATCAACGGCGTCAGCTAGAGGATATCGATGAACCATCGCCTTGCCGGGAGTACACCCTAAGTGACTTGTTGTATCTGGATTGTTCTGACAGAGGACTTAGTGAATTACCTGGCACAGTTAACTTTGACGTTAGTATGTGTTGGTGTTTTTTTTTATATTGTATGGATTTTATAGAAAACAAATAACCTGAATAATAGAAACCAATAGAATCAATGATATTATATAGAATAGAATTTACTTTGTAGTTTGTAATAAGGTAGCAGTAGTACTACTGTAAGACATATTTTTTTTACTTTCAGGCTGATGTACTTGACTTATCGAACAACAATTTCGCTGTTTACCCTCCGCAACTCGCGAAGTTCACACGTCTACAAATATTGCACTTAGCTGGGAACCGTTTAAATCAACCACTACCTTCTTATTTGGAAAATTCTGATAATTTGCTTACTCTTAATCTGTCTAACAATAAATATGATACTTGGCCAGGTACTGGACATACACACAGCAGTATTAAAAGACTTGATTTGTCTATAAATAAAATCAATAACATAAAAACAATTTCTGGGATGCCGCAACTAAATTGGCTCGATTTATCAGAAAACAGAATCTCCAATTTGGCACCAAAGCTATTCACTAGTGCTCAAAACTTAAAAACTCTTATTTTGTCAAGAAATTTCTTTTCCGAAGTACCCAGATTTCAGTCAAAGTCCTTGGAAGTTCTTTATTTGAGCTGCTGTCAAATATCAAGTCTAAAAGCCTACTCACTCGATAGGATGACTTCGCTATCGAGAATCGATTTGTCCATAAACCAGATCGAGTCTATTCCAGACAATTTCGCCTCGAATACTTTACAAGAATTGGATTTGGGTTACAACAAAATTGACACATTGACAGATTTTACTTTCTCGTCTCTACCACTCCTGAAGGTATTGAATTTGAGAGGGAATGATTTCAAGGAAGTTTGGCCGACTTCACGCTTCGCCTCAAATCCAAATTTGAGGGAAATTAACGTGAAAGGAAACAGGTGGAGCTGTGAAGGTTTCAGTGTTAATCTTCTTCTTACTTATGAATATTTAATAACAAGAGTTCCAGACCCCACATCTTTAATTTGCTACACGCCATCCAATGTAACACAGCTTAATTGGCAGGAGGCATACGTTCGAACATGGCATTTGTCCGAATCGGCAGAGTCTTATACTGTGGCAGCGGCTTTGATCGGTATTATTATTGGAATTGTGATAACTTCAGTGGTGTGTAAAGGATTAATGGCTTTGAATAAATCTACTTCTGAGTCAGCACTAAGGCCTGCGGAAACTACAGTTCTGAATCTGAACGGTTCGGTGCCGCAGCCTCGAGCCGACAGCGTAGTGATGAGATTGCCTTTGATTGAGGAAGATCTGCCACCGAGTTATGATGAAGCATTGCTAATGCCTCGTCTGGGTGCTTCGTTCCACTCGTTGCCAGACTTTGTTGAAGAAGAAGAGAATCAGAGTCGGCAGTATCGCAGAAGTAGGTCAATTGGTGACTTGACTAATTACAGACCTCATACAAGTCATAGACGCTCAGTGCGACGTACTGTTGAAATTCATATTAGAACTAATTCTAATTGATATTATATTATTATTTAATTATGTTAATAAGTTTTATTAATTTTGAGTGTTTATGAAATACAGTATTATGTGTAATAAAAAACATTAACAATTCGACATAATGTTTAATCTTTTTAGTAATTTTGTCGAGTCCTCCGCAAGTCACGACTTTTTAATATTTTGTCCTAAACAGTTTTTAAAATGCAATAAATGTCATGTAAGAATCTGAAATCGCCATATACGATTAATGGTAACCCCATAGTTATAATTGCTATACGTAACCGGTAGGTAGCTCTGCGAACGTGCAGTAGCGCCATCTGTAAGATTTCAAAGTAACCTTTTTGCGGTGTGTACACATAGGCAGATACTACCTCGTAAAGCAGAAGGAAAAAAGTACCCGTTAATATCGCTAGATAGCGGTATATTTTTTTATTGAGGAAGGTTTATGTGATTATTGTTAATTTTTAGTAATTCCTGAGTTTAATTGATTTAATTTAAATTTATCTTTTTTATCATTGATATATATTTTATTTAAGCTTTATGTGGGAGATATTATGATTAATCTTATTATTTTTCTACATATAACTGCTACTTTCCCAGAACATATCGGAAACTAGTGGTGTGTCATCAAATAAATACGCTTAAGGAGAACTTAGGTGATAAAACAGACGTATTTATACTTTAGCGATTTCTTATCGCATTATCAGACTAGTGATAACACGTCACTATTTGGACCATACATTGTAACAAGGCGGTCGCGGGCACACGCCAATTGTTTCAAAAATATAGTAGGTATAAAATAGTAAAACTAATTTAATAAGAAAAAAGTGACACTAAATGAAGGATCGTGTCGCGTCCTGAGCTGTGATAAGATAAGTAATAACCGAGTGGAGTGTTATCATTATGCAAGAAGGATTATCGATTCGAAAAGGATTGATGTGGTGAGTTCCAGCACAGTTTACCATGATTTATTATGTATATACCATAAGTTAGATAAACTTACGTACCTTCAAGTAAAAAAGTAGTGCAATTCAAAGCACAATTGAAGTAATTCTTTTATCAAATAAAAGATTCTGTTGTGGCCAGTGATTCATAAGAACATTGTCATCATAATTCAAGTTTAATGTCTTTTGAAAGTAATAAATAAATAAAAATAAATAGTTTTTAACGTTCATCTAAATAAGTATGATTGTTTTGTTCACAACTAGTGAGTTTCTAATGAGTTATCCAGTGAGTTGTTATTTCAATGTAATTTTTTTTTACGTACTCAACATATTTGAAAGACCCATTGAGTCATCAAATTTTGTTTATTTCAGTAAAAGTTGATTGCAAACTCAAACTGCAACACGTAAACAAAATCAGTAGGTTGCACTTAGACATAATAACGTGTTATTATCACGTGATTTCATAAACGAATAACTAAGTTTTTAATAAATGGGTTTCAGAAAACATCGTCTAGCAGTCGACTATGCGGCTACTACAACTAGTTCATATCTCGATAACAGGTATGCTGAAAACTCTAGCTCGACCCGAATTTAAGTAGGCACACTACACCCTACGCCTTTATCTCTTGATAACAAAGATAAAACCGCTGTGTGTAACAATGTTGATACAGGCATAGGCTTTTGTACCATTGAAAGATTCTTAAAGGAAGCCTTGCAGTTATTTTTTGTCATTGAAGAAATACGTGACAGGAATGTTAAGGAAGAGTTGGTGCAGGTGTTCAATTTGTAATTCTATTAATTGTTTAATTTGCAGATAGGAATGAAAGGAAGACGTGATGTTTGGATTACAGACATCAAGAGTCTTGCTGTTGTTCTTATTAGCAAGAGCTGAAGTGATCGACTTTGAAGATAAAAATGAATTGTGCTACACTTGTGCCTGTAATTCGGATGTATCAAATGTCGATTGCTCACGTAGAGGTCTTATCGATGTTCCTGATGGACACTATGACAAGGTAATAATTACCTTTTCCCTACACCATTTCTAGTAGCCAGACGTATAAAGGGATAATGATGTTCCAGATAGATGTGTTACCTTATATACATTTAAATTTAATCAATATAGAGTTATATTATTTTAAAAGTAACTTACTGACACTGTTGCGTGTACTTTTTTTCAGGTTAAGAAGATAAATCTGTCAACAAATGAAATCTCTAAATTTCCAGACAACATAAATCGATATACAAAATTGATTACTTTAGATTTAAGCGGGAATCGGCTCAAGGAACTTGCAGGAAATGCGCTCCAAAACCTCAGTTCCCTAGAAGTACTCAATCTCGCGAAGAACTCCTTTGATTCATGGCTTAATCTAAGCCCTAATGAGCTACTCAAACCTGCAATCAACTTGAGAACACTTGACCTATCTAACAACAAATTTAGAACCCTAGGAGACTTGGCAAAGCAAGAGTTACTCATAAGTCAATCGTTGGTAACACTAATTTTGGAACATTGTGAAATAACTACCATTCATGGAAGGTCTCCACTGACAGGACTAAACAATATAAAAGTGTTAAAGCTAAACTATAATCCTCTGACGAAAATTCAAAATCTTAGTTCAGCGACATTAAAAAGTCTTTACCTCAGTAATTGCGCATTGATCACTCTTTACCATACTGAATTCGCAAATTTACCGTCGTTAGTGTATTTAAAATTGTCTTTTAATTACCAATTGGAATTGCCGAAATCGAACATTGTGTTTTCGAATTCAATAAGAATCCTAGATATATCATACTGTAAAGTCATATACCCTAATATTCAAGGATTTCCAAACCTCAGAAAAGCTCTGATTAACCATAACATGATCAGGTCTCTTGGTAGTAACGAATTTCTAAACAACACCAAGTTGGAATACCTAGACTTGTCGTACAATAATATAGGCTCTCTAAGAATTGACACTTTCAGAGGACTTGGATTGCTAAAGACATTAAATTTATCTTGGAATGAAATAGCTGAAATGCCTGAAGACAGTTTGCTACCTATGCCGTCCTTGACGCATATCAAACTTGCCAGAAATTATCTAACTAAAGTTGGTCATCTTAAATCAACATCACTGATGGAATTAGACATGAGTTATTGTGAAATTAGTATGATTGGAAAGGATTCACTAGAAGGACTGCCATCTTTAGTGAATTTGATTTTGTCTAATAATCTTATAGCACATATACCTGATAGCATATCGTCAAACACATTAAAGTTCTTGAATTTAAACTATAACAGAATTAGTTCAGTAAGTAACTACACGTTTTTCATGCTGCCACAACTGATGACTCTTGGAGTTATAGGAAATAGGTTCACTAGCGTCTGGAATCGATCGTACTTCGAATTTAATCCATTTTTAGATAAACTCTATTTATCGGACAATATGTGGCGCTGTGAATGCAGGGATGCAAATATGTTTGACTTTTACGAATATATCACTCTTGAACCGAATAAAAAAGAAGAGTCTTACAATCTCAAGTGTAACAGTCCTCCCAGTGTCGTTGGGCAATCTTGGTTTGAGGCTTGTTACTTCATATGGAATCCCTCTGAAAAATCTTCTAGCCCTGATAATTTGATTTGGTTTATTATTGCAATGATCACAGGTTTAGCATTGTGTCTGTTAGTAGTCAATTCTATAAGGATGTCCATGAAACGTCGTTTGAATACAATACAAGCTGAGAGACAAAGGCAAGTCGAAGAAGCTCGAGACAGACTACGACAGCTGAGAATCCGGGCCGAACAAGAAGCGTTAATCAATACACCAGATCCTCGAGATTTAATAGCACCACCATCGTACGATGAAGCTCTTTCAATGCCCAAATTAAATGTGTCAACGCATTCCTTGAATGAAACTGGTGCAGGAAGAAGTCGTAAAAAAAAAGGACGCAGAAAAACTAAATCAAGTGGAGACTTGTTAGAAGAAACAGAGAGAAATGGTAACATACGCGTTGTGGATGATATCGAACTTGCTGAGACATCTGATGATGGACGTCGGCAGAGACGGCGGAGACGGCCAAAAAGATACGGCAGTCATGAAATAACAGAACTAGAACAATCTCCTGGTGCTCGTCGCCGCCGCATGTCAGAATACGATCCGGGTACTGAGAATAATGTAACTGTAGATGTCGAACCCGAACTTAGCAGGCCACTCCGTCTAAGAAATAGAAGATATTCAAGTGATGATGAACCGCATGAAAGCGATTTCTAATCCAGAAATAGTGAATGAGGAATGAACTAATGTTATATTATTTATTGCAATTTAAAAATTATAGTGACAGCTCTGACACGAAAGTAAGTACATCAAGCATAATCTACAACAGACACCCCTAATACTATTCAGCAATTTCTTTCACACAACCTTTGAATAGTAAATTAAATAATGTAAATATTAGTAAAAATAACGTCTATACGTAATAACAATTACATTTAAGTTACTGATTTTATGATGCGTTGTTTAGGTATAGTGTATAATTAGTTGTATCATATAGATCAAAAATATTATCATAGATGTAGTATTATTATTTTTGTATTATGCCTACTGATGAATGTGACTTATAATAAAGATTTAAAATAATCATTAATTTTTTTCCAATAAAACCTGGTTAAATCCATAAGTGTGGTCCATAAAAATGATTTTACCGAAGCAACAAGATAGAGGAAGTCACAGAATAAAACAAGACGATTTTTTTATTGAACGTTTTATATCGCATACCGTGAAATAAAAATACATCATTTCCATTTATCGATCTATTATTGTTGTTTATTTTGTTCTATGTTTCGCATTTACAAAATTTTTATAGATAAAATTACATACCTAATAATAATAGATACAATCAGTAAATTAAAGCAGAATAGTTTAATAAAAGCACAAATTTAATAATATTAAAGGCCACAATAATTGAATAATAGATAAAAGGCTATATAGCCCTATCATAGAAATGCGTTTTAATAAACATAATGCGTCTGTACACACACATACCCAAATAATTATTGAAACTTAAAATAATGGTATCACAATATTACATACTAATTCAATAAATTTACTTAAAAGGAACTTATGATTAGCCAGACCACGAGAATAAAATCTCTACAGGAAGAACAAAGTAACAAAATTAACATAGCCAGTAAACCATTCGTTGTTCTTAATTGTTGTACATATACTTTGTATGTATTGCTTGAAATAAAATAAGTACACAACCATGGGAATCCACAATCAACGAATTGTAGCAGAAACAAAATATAAGAATTTACTATACAGCACTTGTAACCATTGCATAATTCTCTATGAGGCGATATTTAATTATGATTTAATACAATTTAAAACTATCATGAAAATGGCAACATTTTTATAAGTATAAAAATATGTTTTAATTATTCCGACAATATACTCTCATAAATATATTATACCACTAATTGTAAAAATAAAGGCACTGTCGACTACAAACACACTTTGGCAGCAAAGTTTTATAGACTTGACACACATCGTACCGACATCAGTCGCTCATTTCTGAGTTCCCGCAATTTTTGCACAAGAATTTAATCACAGAATTTTGCCAATAGTGAAAATGTTTGCTAATTGACACTGATTAAATATGTAGTGTTTTAGTCCTTCAAATTGGAAATAGGTTTCAAGTGGTTGATTTTATTTTTCCATCAATTGAGGGGATAATCACGATATCTCCAGCGTTTGACCTACTTCTGGTGACTAGTACTGGAGTTTTCGGTTTCGGCGTCTCCGACAACTTAATCCTAACTCTTCCCATATCAGGAGAGTATACTGGAACATATTCACGAGAGGGTGACAAGAAATCAGAATCAGTATTTTGGTCCCCGTTTATTAATGGTTGAGATAAGTCGGAATCAGCGATACCATTCATTCTCGATGGCTCTTGATGCATAGGAACAAATATATCTTCGCTAGATAGTGAATTTGTATCTTTTTTAGAATCTGGTAACGTCGCAGATTCAAAAGATAAATCCTGAACTGGCGTAGGAGTTTTATTAGGTGCATAATTGTGGTCTTTTGAGTTACTTTTGTTTTGATTGGTGTCCCTTGGGCTGTTAGTTCTATGGTCATTGGTATCTCCGTGGCTTTTGCCGTTAGAGAAGTCACTATTTTCTTTCTTTTGAAGGGGTTCATGAGTTGGTACTAATTCATAGTTACCGTTAACTTTCTTTTCTATTGGAGTTTCTACAGCAGCAGGTTTACCTAATAGTGATTTATTCATATCAACCATTTCTTTAGACGCTTCGATATCTCTCTTTTGTTGTCTTAAAAGTCTCCTGTCTCTTCGTTTCCTAATTTGCCCTTTCATAATAGCAAACCCAATTAATCCTACTAAAAGCACAATAATAATGGCAACACAAACGTATGTGCCAGTCTTATGAGGCACAGGTTTGTCATTCGCGTTTGTTATTGATTCTAATCCTTTAGTATTAGTTGCAGACAGAGTTTCTGAAATTGTTGTATCTGGAGTCATCATTGGTGTAGCAACTCTATCGGTAACAGGCGATTCAGTTCTCCTATGCCAGTCATGACCTCCTTGAAAGAGACTAGGCGTCTGAACTGGTGGAAATTCAGTAGCATTATTGTCAGTACTTTCATTATCAAAATAGGTATGCACTGGTTCAGGTTCCAAATCAGGTAAAAGTGGCGTTGTTGTCTCAACTGTAGGTTCGTCTTCATAATCTATAATACCAAAGCCAGATCCTTCACCAGAGCCTTCAATATGATCTTCTGTGGTGTGTGTATTTGTAACTGGTAGTATTTCTTCAGTAGCCATTAGGTTTGCATTAATCCTTTGTTCCTGGTGAATATCACTTACACTGAACATTGTTGTACTCTCTTCTTCTGCGCCTGATCCCTCAATTTCAGAAAGAGACGATGGTGAAGTGGTATGGCTTACCTTCATGAATTGAACATTATCGTCGTCTTCCGTCGATTTTTCTAGATGAATAACCTTGCCTTCTAACACATCACTTGACACCAGAGCCATGGATTTCAATGCAGTAGTGTCATCACCGATCTTTTCTACATCAAATGGTTGATCTCCCATCATCACATCCAAGTTATCATTTTGAGATACTGTGCACATTTCTTTTGTCTTAAGCTGCAGCCAAGAACGACCTGCGTATTTCGCCGGCGTAGAACATTTTACTTTGTCAATAAATACATTTCTCGAAAGCAAACGATCGCGCGCTCTAATATTTGTACAAGAACAATCAAGCGGATTACCATCTAATTCAAAGTGCTCCAAGCTGCTTAAGTGTTCGAGATCAGAAGGCAAGTCTCGCAGCAGGTTGTTAGTTAAATCTAATGAACTAACACTTGCTGGTAGATACGCAAGCGTAATTCGTCGTATTCTGTTGTTAGCCAAATTAAGGTGTACCAATTTTTTAGCATTATTCAGGAACTTGTTAATGTCAGTGATACCATTCGTAGATAGATCTAAAGTGACAATCTCTGTTAGCCGGTCTAACTCATGGGAAAGCTTGGTAATATTATTGTGCGAAAGATCCAAAATATTAATATTGTGATGTTTTTGGCGCAGAGTGAACTTGTAGATTTCATCGAGGTTACTGCAGGTAGCGCGATGTAGTCCATCCCGAGTGTTGGTGCAAATGCAACTTTCTGGACAAATTCCAGCCAGTGATGGTGCGACTAGCACTAACACCGCTAGGAAACACGCAGAGACGCGAAGCCACGACATGTTTGTTTTGGCTCAGCACCTGAAATTGAAAGAAAAAACAAATTGTTAATATGTTAGATAACCAATCTAATAGGTTGTATAACTTGATGTCTAATTTGTTGTAGTGATTACCACTGCTATTACCCAGAGGAAATCATGACATTTCAGTTTGCGAATTGTAAACTACAAAAAAAGTGAATTGCGAAGTGACAAGCAAATATATCAAGGTACCATAACCTTTTAGTTCTCGTAGGCCACTTATTTTATAAATGTTATCTGTGACATGCAGTAGTCTGCCAAAACCAGTGCGATATTAAAGGAAAGGTAGATGTAACCGAGTCGCTGTTAGTTTATCTCTGTACGCATTAAGTCGATAATTCTGAGCAATTAAATATATCATAACCCAGCCCACTGACTGCGCCTAAAAATAGGCTAGTTATATGTTGCAGTCTGTCGCCTATCAACTGCACCCCCCAACTCCCCCTTTATTGCAACTGCACTTATAGCAATTTGTATCTACGTGCTTCCTGTCATTCATAAATAACAAACGATTATATAATTTTCATGTCTTTCTAACGTCAATCTTCATTAAGATCTGTATCACGGTAGAAACTAAACTATGACATTGTTTACTGTTCCCATTTGACGAAGTTTTATCTAAGAATTTTCTAACTGGACTAAAATATTTGCAATGAAAATAATTATCATATGTATATATGCGAAAGGAAAGTAGACAAGGGCTCGTTGCAATTAACCTAACAATATGTAAAGAGGACTGTATAAGGGTATTACTTGAAAACCTGTCGCCATTAAATCAATGACATTTAATTGTGCCGGTCCTATGAAAGTTAACTTTAAGATACTTTATATTCCGCTTGATTTTAACAACAATTTTTAGAGTGAATAATCTTTCGTCAACAACATTTTATAATAAATGATAAATATCACACTAAAATGCCAAAGTTATATAACTTGCAAATCCTTTGTCTAACATTAGACGCATAATTTAGTTTTAAGAGCACAGGGGGATGTACTAAGGAAAGATACTCTTTAGAATTTCGAAAGAACAACGGCTGTAAAGTTGCAAGTCCACCTTTATGTAATCGTTTGCGATTCAAATCAGTTCTATTTTGGTCTCATAATAACATCCTCCATGCACTTGGCCGGCGTTCGAGTACTGGTTCAATGTTAGCGGCAGGAAGCCGCCGGTTAACCGTTTGTGCGAATGTGACACTTTGAGACCGACGGAACTCGTGGGGGCAGACAGTTTAGGCTCAGCAGGTATGAATGTATTGCGTAATATTTTTAGGCCTTACGAACACAATATGAATTTCTTTTCAAAATAAATTCTTGATACGCGGTACTACTAATTCAAAATTTAGTTTTATTGGCTTAAAAAATGTTATTTAAAGTGTGAAAAATTTAAATCAGGGAAACACTGACTTATTGACTATGGTCATTTCCATGTCATTTCTACTAAATAATTTAATCCTGTTATTTGTTTCAATTTTTTATGTCTTAACAAAACGAGTACAGCTATTTTCCCATTGACAAAGAAAAGAAAAAGAATACTGGACTGGTTAGTAAACAATATGAATAATATATAATTTACACCTAGAAAAGAAATAACTCAAATGTCTATAGTTTCTGGTATATTTATATTAAAAACGAGATCTTAATGATATGTGAAATCGATTTCGGTATAAACAACGGATGTTTTAAAAGCAATATCGATTTAATTCCACACTTTGATTAAACAATGACTACTTACGAGTAAGCCTTTGTAATGGTTTAGTGTAAGTGTACTTAATAATAATGCGCTGTAAGATGTTGCTTTGGCATGGCTTTAACACACATGGCTTTAACAAAAAGATCCAACTACGGTTCAGTTGGTTATTCTGCCCTCCTTGTCATAATAATTATGGCACTTAATAGTTATTTGTTATGCAAGGCTGCAAAGTTGTTGTTTGACGCGAGTGCTTGTATTGAAATTTGAGCAAGCGAAGAATCCTGAGATTCCTGAGCGTAGCGAGGCTTTCGAGGCTTTCTTTAGGCACGAGACCCAAGACAACTTCGCTGCCAAGAGAAATACACGACTTTTCACCTCACTGTAGCGAGGAGAATGGTAGATGAAAGAAAAACAGTTGAACTATAACAAATCAGTTTTAATAAACAAAATTAGTTATCGTTGTCAATTTAATGTCAAGAATAATAAGAATAAAATACACCAACGATTTATGTAATAAATAATGTACGACAAATCGCTTAGTTGAACGTGTCATTATGTTTTTTTTTTTCATCGAAAGAAAATCTTGGGTGCACCACAATCCATCCAGGTATTATTTTACCGTACGAAATATATGCAATCAATATGGGAATTATTGTCGCAAAATAGCTGCGCTTGTGTTGAATATATTTTTCTTACAGTTACTTTTCCTATCCTCCATTCGCATTTTTGTTAAATGGAGCACAAACGACTCCTACATTATATTATAATTTGAAATAAAATTTTAAAATGCGTTTCAATTAAATACTAGTGTTTAATTGTTGAAATTGCCTGTGTATAACACACAATCATTGTACATGTGTAGCATATATAATGATTAATAAATCATACGTGTCACGTGACCCATATCAGTGACCTGTTTTTACTATAAATGGAATTCGCCTTTATATCTCTTAACTACTTGTTGATGCTTATTTAACAAAGTCTAAAATGAAATATTTAAGTACAAAATATAGACACACTTTGCACCTGTGGAAAAAGCCCAATAAATTGCTTGAGTCACCAAGATTGATACAGGAAGTGGATGGCCAGGAATTGTTCCATACTCTTCGATGTATGCAAATTTTTTTTTTTCATTGGCGCACGGAGCACAGTACAATCACCAAATTTGGAATGGTCCTTGAGTTCCACGGATAAAGAATGGTTTTCGATGCATTCAAAGATCGCGTGCGTAAATGTCATATGCCTTAAAAGGATGATAATAAAATTCGTAGAGGCTCATTTACTTCCGCAACTTCAACCAATATCTACATTACTTTTGTACCAATACCTTGATATATACATCGCGGTTATTATAAGAGACTAGCTTCTGCTATGCAAATTATGTTGCATAACTGAAAAGTCATCTTGCTGTCATTTAAGACTGCACTTGGGACAAGTATTAATTCACTAAACTGTGCCTCGACCATGAAATTACAATGACAGTTAACGCTAGCGACTGCGTCAACAAAATGTAGTTTCACCTTGCGACCGCTAGGGGCGCTGTATAATTTGCCATACAATATTGTGAAGTAATTTACGCTGTTGCTAGCGACAACTGTCACAATAATCTCGTGGTAGAGGTACTGACGACCCCAATTGGACGATTATAAATGATAATACAATTTATTGAAAAGGGCATCCCATATGTATGTGTCAGTTCATATAGTTTCGTTGTCAGGCTAAAGTTTGGGGTCTGGTGCCTATCATCTTTACAAATTCTTATAAAAAAAGTTAACAAACAAAAAAAAGATTACTTGGAAACTCAATGGCCGGCAGCTACCTTGCTACAACAAGCTTGCTTAACATATAAGCATATCTATACAAAGAGAGAACGCTGCCAGCATCTTGTGCTCCTTGCCGCGGGGGTCCAAAATAATTCATATAATTTAATCCTATTTTTAATTTTTAGTATTTAAGCTATTATTGTATTTTTATACCTTACCTATCTAAATAAAAAGTTATACTTAAATAAGTATATTCCAAATATATATTATTTTATCAATATTACATTAGTAAATAATATTAATAATAATTATTATACTTTTCATTAAAATAAATATCAGTATGTAACGGTCAAGTGCAATGTCATTGACCAACTTATCTGCGCATGAGCAACCACTGGTTTTCATAATGTGCAATTAGAAGAATTATTGCTCTAGGAATTGTTCAATGACCTATTTATGTATACATTAGAGGTAATACAAACATTTTCTGTATTTTATGATAGCAGATTTAGTATAAGTTGTTACAACAACAATTTTAATGGATATCTCCAGAGAGGATAATTTAGGTATAGCTTCAGCTTTACGTACTTAAATGTTACTTTTTATTTTCTACGTATTAATAATAATGTCTTTAATTTATTTCAATTTGTAATAACTAGTAAACCAGGTATATCTGGAGTGTTAGGTTATTGAGTGCAAAGTTTCTGGTGTTGCGAACATAATAGGTTACGAAAAAAGAAATAAATGAATCAGTCAATAAAACAATCTTCTAAGCATACAGGGTTATTTTAAAACTTCTCATTGCGGCATTTCTCTCATAAATACAAATTAACTTTTATTAAATAAAATATTAAAGCCGATGGCTTTAATATTTTATCCCCGTGGACATTGTCATTAACATTGTGATCCTTGACCTCAATTATCTCAGGTTAGAGATCGAAGTACTTGTACAATTATATTTTATGTACTTAGTTTAAAATTTCTTAAGGCCGAATAATTATAGTCGTGGTTTGTGATATTTGAAGGAATGCAAAAAGCTCCAAGCGCTGCTCTCGACAAAATAGCGTGAAAAATACGTATCGAACCAAATACACATGAGAAAGTACAGTTGACGAAGTGTGTATAAGTAGCGTGTTGAAGTTGTGACCGTCAATAGTAAGTAGCGGTGAATTGAAACCGAGCTGCATAAAAATTACCAATCTCACCTTCACCTATTTGCGATTTGTTTATTGCTCTTGAACCTGAAAATGGATTTGTTTAACTAATCCACTCGAGACGACTGCGCGTGGGCAGGCCAATAAATTCACTGATAAACGCTTGTGATTCTATGCAGAATCATGAGCTCTCTAACATAAATAAAATGCTCATAGCTTTTCGACTACGCTGCAATGGCTGTTACATACAATAGAGAGCCAATTTTACGTAATATCCTATTTGTTTCAATCCAAAAATATGCATAGATGCAAGAACCTAATTCGAGTAAGAAATATATGTTAAAAACGTACAAAACAAGTCCGTTTTCATGCCTTTGTGAAATAAATATTATAA